ATTATATAAGAATTTCAATCAATTAATTTTCATTGATAATTTGGCATTATATTAATTAAAGTAAAGTTATATTAAAACGATGCATGATAAACGGTCGTAATATCTCACGACCGTAAACGAGCGTAAAATTACGCTCATGCACCGGCGATAATAATTAGCCGGATCGAATTTTTCTCCTTCATTCCCCTCTGATAGAGGTTGAAACTATGAATATGGCCAGGATCAACGAAAGGTAGGTTCAACTGGCCCAACGGAAGCAATGTATAGTTGACCGCTATCATGGTCAAAAAACGCAAAAATACACATGTTGGGGAATACATGTGTTTGCGCATTTCTACGTGCAATGGCACGTAATCAGGAATGTTACCGGTGCATTCTATTAGGGCACGTAAGTAGGATACATGAGTAGGGCACGCGAATAGGGCACGCGAATAGGGCACGCGATTAGGGCACGCGAATAGGGTACGCGATTAGGACACGTTCCCCGAAATTTCCATGATCCCGGATTTCCGCTGGCTTAGCCAGCAAAAGTAAGGTTGTTAGGATTATTAAAACTATTTCAACTTAAGATAGTTATTTAATTCCTTAAGATTCTTACGGAATTAAATGCTTACTAGGAATTACAAGAATATTAAGACTATTAAAATATTAGAGAAATAAACAAAAAAATAAAACAAAATATTATATATTTATAAATTAATTAATTATAAAAAATTTGAAAAATGGCATATATACCTTTTTTTAATAAATTAAAAATTGTATATATATTTATTATGTACAAAATAGTAAATTATTTCGAATTTCATGATTTAATTTTGATTTGATTGATATTTATGAATTTCGTGTCGTAATTAAATATTCGTTAAATTAATTAATTAGTTACATTGCAAAAACAACGCGTTCTTTCCACGTTCTTGGACGCGATTGCTGTCTTAGCTAAGGGGCCTTATCGCTGTCCCTCTCGTCAGATAAACGTTAATAAAGTTCGTACCGGCGAGGAGTCGAAATAATCTTCAGCGTGGAGAATTATTTCTTGTCGGTTCTTGTAAGATCCATCCGCGACGTCTAGTTCGGTGCTCTGTTGAAAATTGGGGATGTTTGTTGCAGGATTGGAATTAAACCCAGGTTTTCCTGGCGATTTCTGAAAGCAATGATTTCGGTAATAACTCAACGACTACTGCCACATGCCTTTTCGAAGTCGACTCAGGAAATTAATATAAATAGTATATTTGAAGGAAAGATATATTTCTTTTCCTTCGTTAAAAATGTTCTTTTATCATTATTAATATTAGTATTAATTTTATGTTAATACTGAAAAGACTTAATAATATAATAGATTGAACATGAATATAACTACTGTGTATAGATAAATCTTCATTTTTCAAATAATTTCAAATTGCAATCAATTTGCCTGTTTCTATTGACTTTTTTTGATACAAAAATTATGGTTACGAACGAATGTATTTTATTGATTCATTTTTAATTAATATAATTTTTGGTTTTTTTTTAGAAAATATTTCTAGGCACTGAGGATATTAACATTAGGTTTTAGTTTCTTTTAAGAAATTATTTGCAGGTATTGGACATCCTGCCATTTTAGGAGAATCCTGGATAATTTTTAGATATACTATTCTATATATATAATAAAATACATGTACAAATTAACATACAATTTCAAAAAATTTTTATATTTTTTTTGAGTATTATATTACAAAATATTATGTACGAATGTAATGTAAAATGTGCGGATACTTAAAAATTTCGAGACAAATGGAATGGGTACCCCGATATCAGTAAAATATCGACAAATTAATTTATTTAAAAACTAAAAATAATTTAGAATTAATTATTTAAAATTATATCGATTTATTTTATCTTGCAAAGTGTCTGAAATAAAATTTTTAAAATTTTGCTGTTATCGGGTTCGATTTGTTTCGAACAGTTGGTACCCGAGAATTATTTGTACTCGCATATTTAATACTAGCTACAATAATGATGCATGTATTTTATTATCCATAAATATAGTCGTTCGTAACCACATTTTCATAAAATCGTTATATCCATTTATTTTTCAATATTAGAGATATATTTCTAAATAATGGAAGAACACATTTTCTCGCGGAAATCTCAATTCACGCATTTGAAAATAAATCGGGCATTAGATTTTATATTCAAATTGTATACAAATGTCCTATATTACTAACGCGATTATAAAAAGCGCTCCAAATGTCCGTCAAAACATTTTCGTTTAAATATGTAATAATTATATTGTTCCTCCGATTGCATGTATATTGGAATCGCGAATATTACGGCTATCGTCAATTTATTTATTCGTCGTGTTTTTTTCGCAAATTTTAAATCGCGATTTATCTTGTGATTTAATCGTTGATTTACATCGAAGCTTCGTCTATCTTTTCTCGGATATTTTCTTTGAAACTTTACGCGAAATGCGTCAGTCTAACAATAAGTACTTTCTTCTTCTTAATTCAAAAACAATAACTTTATTAATAACTCTTTTGGTCAGAATCATTTGCATTATATAAAATTTAATAAGCTTTGTAATTGCATATTGATCATTAATCAATAACAAATATCGTATTAATCGTTCCTTATCAGCTATATCTGATCTAAAAATAAGAAAATTTATTTACGAAAATTTATTTCATTTTACATGCGTATATATACATAAAAATACTTCAATTATAATTTATTATCGCTGTAGTATATACTAGAATGACAAAACATCACGTGCAGCTAATAAAACATTAATAAATCCATAATATTTCTCCATATTTTTGATCCACAATGTGTTTAGCACCAACCGGTCGTTTTACCATGGCATCAAAAAATGTCTGGCCATGTAGTTCCGCCGGCTCTAAGATGGATCCAGTTAGCGCCACTGTACCAGCTAGGAAAACGGCGGCGTGACCCCTCTCAGGGGGCCTATTAGTGCCGGTCCACAATAGGTGATTTAAGCCCTAAGCCTTAAGAAATTGACCAATCACAATCAAGTATGAAGAGAATACTCGACTGTGATTAGTCAATTTCTTAAGGCTTAGGGCTTAAATCACCTATTGTGGACCGGTACTTACGGTTCTTGAAACGAGGTGAAAATTACAAAAGTGAACAGATTTACTAGATTTTGACAAATGAAATTGTAGATACTCTAATGAATTTCCTCACTTTTGTAATTTTCACTTACAGGCTTCTCTCTGATTGTAGAAAAGACAGAAAAGATCAGAAGATGTCCCATGCCATCTTTTCAATTATTTACGTCATCTAGATCTATTCTTGTATTTTAAAACTGTAACAATCTCATAAATTTTCACTTGACAATAAAATATATTTATTAAAAAAATACTAAAAAATATATAAATGAGTTTTCTTGAAAACCGAAATGTAAAATAAAATAATTATCTCCTTTTTTTATAGAATAATATACATATATTTTTGTTGTGTCCAAGTATATCTCAAATATTTTTACATAATTAAAAAAAAAAAAGATTCTATGCACATTTCTAACATGTATTACAAACTATTTTGGAAAAGATAAAAAATTTCAACATTTTCAACAAGTGAGATATAAAAAAAAACAAGCTTGAAGATGATTAATACAGATTTTCAAATAATTTAAATCTTTACACAAATTTCTTTTTTAGATATAAAAAGATATCAGGATTATAAATAGTTTATTAATATTTTTATGTCATATTATTAACTTCACTAAGGTATTCCCTTCTATACAATATATATATATATGATATTATATAATTAAAA